CCCCAAAACCCCAAAACCCCAAAACCCCTCAAGAATATAAATAAATTGAAATAAAATGGAAAAGAATCTTGATACTAGGACATCCTTTGCGTCTACTCTAACTTTGCTATCCAAAAAGAAGGGTGCACCCAACTCTAAAATCAGGCTAGTAAAGACGAGACTGAAAGGAAAGCCAGCTGTCAACAATAGATATTGTCCAAATCCGGCAGAAGTTTCTGGGTTTTATAATTACAGCATAAAATCGAATAAAAATAAAGATATCAACACTTACTCTGGTCAGAATATCAGACAAGAAGCTAGTAAGGAAGTAGCCAGAAATTTACTTCTCGAAAGAAAGTTACAGCAAGGCAAGGCCCTTGTTGGCAATCTAGAAAATGAGACCCAGCTTCTCCTTGATTATTATAATAATAGACACTTCATTGATAAAGAGGTGCAAGAGAGAAACCAAGATTACTTTAAGTTTAGCGCGAATGACCTTAGCCTGGATAAGGTTAATAATTTGAGCAACTCAGTTAATCAGCTCCAAAATCCAACAAATGAGAAAGCACTTACTTCATCCAAGGATCATGCAGAGCAGAGGAATTCTACTGACCAGCTCCCGAAAGTAAAGGAATGATATTCTCAGAAGAGTAACTCTAGCAGTAAAGCCATCAATAGACTAGAGATCCAGCCTGCTGGTAAAGCTTCAGGAAATAAAAATGTTCAGCTTAATATATCAGAATCTGCTGATCCAAGCGCTTTTAGAAGACCAATCAACTTCGAATATTCTAAAGATTTTAGAGCAAGTACTGAGTTAAAGTCTAACACAGGGTTGGCTTCGAATGGATCAGTAGGTAATCTTTCAAAGCCTCAAAGAAATATCATAAGTTCTATCAAGAAGATAAACCAAAATAGGAATCGTTTACATAATCACAGTAAGATCAACTGGAGTATTGCTGACATTCCTGAAAATTATATTACTAGTCCATCCAGAGCAGCAACATTAAACTCTAGAGTTGATGAAGTTCCAAAGGCAAGATCTAGTCTTTCCCTTCATAAGCACAAATACTCGGTAATAGAAACTCCTGAGAAAACTCAGAAGCTTCAGATGGTCAAGGATAAGTTGAGAAAGAACAGACTCTCTGTGACCATAAATAATCAGGGCAAATCTGCCAAAGAGCCAAGGAATAATTATATTTACAATTCTCTAAAAGATACAGTCAGGTCTAATAACGAAGACCAAAGAAAGCAGTATCGTACGAATATTGACAATGGGAAGATGTCTCATGAAGTGGTAAGTGTTATAATCACTCTTTAGATCTGTGATGATATCAACCTCAGGCCTTCAAAGCAGATTCCTTTTGCTAAACAGTATACTATTACTACTGATTCAGGGATATTCAAGGAAAAGCTTCAGAACACGATTGAGATAAAAGAACCAAAGTTGTGTAAAAGTGCTCATAAAAGTATAAATGCGACTAGAGAAGCTGGATTTATGGGCCAAAAGTCTAGAATGTTTGTAAACCAGGGTATAAACTTAGATAAACACACCAGTAAGCCCTTCTTACAAGATATTGGAAGGGAAAAGAACATCCAAAAGACATTTGCTAAAATAAATGGAATCAGTGATTACTTTAACAAGTCATCAGGATACACTACGAATTCTAACCCTGATTTTCAAAGAGTGTATGATCATGATCCGAGAATATTCAGAAAGGGTAAAGGGATGCTAGCTCAATATGCTGATCAAGGCACTAAGCATTCTTTTATTTGCTCGCCTTTTAGTAGAAGATAAATTTCAATAATTTGCTTAAAAGAGAGTTTAGCTCAGATTCTTTATAATTAGTAGATTTCCTTTACTTTTATTGCCTCCTTAATAATTATACTAATGTATCTTATTTTGTAGTAAATTTGGAGACTTCGTAATCCTGTTGGTTGGGTTAGTGCCTTCAATAATTCACCTGCAAATGTTTTCAATTTGAGGAAATAAATTAGGGGTTTTGGGGTTTTGGGGTTTTGGGGTTTTGGGG